TTTCCTTTTCTTGACGTTCACGTTCACAGCTCTGTGTCCGGGTTCTCTTTCTCTGTCTACCGCAAACCCATGCATAGTGGTATGGACATTCACTTCTTTTCCTACCATCCTCCTCCTGTTAAGAAAAGTGTCTTCGTCTCTCTTCCTCTGCGTTCTACGCATCAGGGACCCTCAGTTTCCTGATTCTGAAATTACCTTTATCTACAAATTATTCTCTCACCTTGGTTACCCTCGAGGCGCCTGCCAGCTAGAAGGACAACGCTTCGGATTCGTAGGCCTGAGGTTATGGGTTTGATCCCCGGTGGAGGTAGAGACAAAGGGGTAAAATGTTTCTTTCACCCTCATGCTCCTGTTACCTAGCAGTAAATATCTACATGGGAGATAGACAGCTGCTACGGGCTGCATCCTGAGGGTGTGTAACAAAAAGGAGGCCTGGTTGAGGACCGAGCCGCGGGGACGCTAAGCCCCACAATCATTTCAAGATAACCTCAAGATAACCCTTTGCATTTAATGAACTGTGCCTATTTTCAAGCTAAGCGAAATTTCTTTCAACCTAAACCTGCTTCCAGCACTAGTAATACTGTGTTATGCCTTCCCTTCATATCTGAACTCAAAACTTTTACTAATACCTTTCGTCCTTTTGACATAAAGCTCGACTTTCGACAAACTAACACACTTCGTAGCAATCTAGTTCACACTGCTCCTCCTGCTTCTAATGCTGTTGGTGTCTACTCTATATCCTGTTCGTCTTGTCTTCTCCAATACTTTGGTGAAACTGACTGTACACTTAATGACAGATTTAAAGAACACAAAAGAAGTGTTAAGTCTGCAGACACAAACAACGCTCTCTTCTGTCATGTTAGGGATTCTAATCATCCTTAAAGAATTGGTCTAATCATCCTTAAAATAAAAAAGGATTGGTCGTCCTCCAAAATAATCTTTCCTGCCTGTTTTCTACACAAACGCCGTCATGTTGAATCGGCTCTGATACACAACATACCTAACATTAACTTGAGTTCTGGCTTTTTTGCTGTTGACTCTTCCCTTTCACAATACATACTCAAATGCTCTAAGGTTTCTAACAAATGTGACCTAACATAAGCTTACCCTTCCATTTATCTTTCTCTTTCTCTTTCCTTCTCTCTTTTTTTCCCTTGTTTTCTCTTACGATCCCTTTCTTATTCCTATTACTATCCCCTTTATTACACTTTACCTTTCATACCTTTTGCCTTGCTTTTCCGTCTTATCACCTTTCTCTTGCCTATTTATTTGCCTTCGCCTCCTTCCCTCACCGTTATGGGCTCACCTACATGAACACTTCGTTCTGAGTAGCTAAATCTAAAACAACATCAACAACCTTCCCTCATCACAATCGACTTGAGAATGGTCCAGGACGGATCGAAACGTCGTCGTCCCTTCACTTTTTAGTGTGTGGTTTGGTAAACATATTTCAGCCACGTTATTGTGACTCCTCGTCTGCATACGAGGGATATCTAGCACAATTTTCACTTTGTCTCATATCTATGAAATTTTGACCGGGAGATAATATCTTTATTATCTACATACTGGAAAAAAGTCATTTAAAACAATTAAATTATTCAGTTATTGCTATTATGCATGTTTTTCTGTTGTCTAAATACATCATAAAGAACGTCCTTAGTGAACCGAGTTGTATTGACTCGCCGTCAATACAACTCTGCCAGAAATGATAATTTTCTGTAAAGGTTCACATCAACATCAACGGTGCACATGTATACACCTTCAATGGACAGGCCTAAGATAGTCATAACAGCAGCATAATACATAGGCATAATTGTTATATACTTTGTAAACTAGATTTAAAATCTTTATTGTTTGTGATTTATATAAATGTCTAGAGTTTTGGTTTCAGTGAATAGGTGTAGTAGGCATCCTTCAGTCTCAGGAGACTATGGAGTTGCACCCTGGATGTCAATTCTGGTGCAGCATCTGGTGTGACTGATGGGGCCAAACCGAGAATGGCAGTCTATCCCACACTGAGCACAAACGAAGTCCGATTCTGGTCTGTCTTCCTGGCTACTGTCTCTCCTTCTCTTTCTCTTTGTCTCCGATTTCTTGGCAAGTGACTCCTCGAACTTGGAGAGACCTCTTTGAACAGACTCTCCCCAGGCTGAACGGTCTGCGGCCAGTGTTTCCCCAAGATCGACTTCCATGGCTTTCAGGTCCCTCTTGCATACATCTTTGTACCGTAGTTGGGGCTTGCCTGTTGGACGCTTTCCCTGCATCAGCTCTCCATACAGGAGATCCTTGGGGATCCTGCTGTCTGGAGTGTCGTCTCCATGGCACAAAGCTTGGATAGGTAGATATGAAGGAGAAGCTGTTACCCATGCAGCAGGTCCGCCCTCTCCACGTTGCTGAAATTATCCAATGGAAAGTCAAATGCCAATACACATGGTTCCAGCACCGTCGCTGGAGCTGCCAGAACGAGGTCGAAGTCAACAACGAACTGCTTTAGGAGCTCCAACTCTGGATTTTCCTCGAGGTTGACTCCTGAAGCCTTTTCCAAAACAGGGGTATGGCCGCAAGGCAGCGGAGGTTTAAAATCAGCGTTTTCCTTCCCCTAGATGGGCTGCCTTCCCAGGCTATTGAGTCCCATCTACCCGGAGCAGCTGGTTTTAAGACGCAAGAGGTACGCCCTTGCCCCTTCTCCTGTTGGTAAAAGCAGTTCCGCCAGACATAAAGACTAAGCCACCCGTGCAGGCCAGGAGTTGGATTTGGTTGTCAGAGGCTATTTGAGACGCACGCCGTATTGGCGCTTTTTATAGGTCATGGGAGCTCTTCCCCCATTACCACCCCGTGGCTATGACAACTCCTTGGAACCTGAATAGGTGTATAACTAATATAAATAAATTTCATTATTAAGTTACATAAATTTACACTCTCTGGTCTAAAAGTTTTCTGTATCCAATCCTTCGGCCATCCAGCCTACACCCGGCCATTTAGTTATAGAACTCTCAAGCATCCCGTTGCTGATGTTTGTTTTGCTTCAGTTTGAGCCAATGACGCTGCTCACACGCCAGAGGGATGGAAGTTCCTTGGTGACTGGCCTCCTGGCCGACGTCTTTACTCACCTTCAGGAACTCACCAACTTCACGTAAGTCACCATACCACCTTGTCTCATTATTCTTGTCACCTCACCAGGGAGTAAGGTGGAGTGTGGACGATATGTGAGTAGGAATAGGAAAAAGAGATAGAAGATAGAAGAATCTGGAAGAGAGGGAGGAGTGGGGAAGTGAGCAAAGAGATCCAGGCACAGTAGGATAATTCTCCCTAGCAGTATTGTAAATGGGGACATAAATGTGCTGTGTTTCTTTTCCTGACAGCTTCCTTCTGGCCCACTATTTTTTTCCATGAACGTCTGTGATGGCTCTCTTCTGGCCCACTATTTTTTCCATGAACGTCTGTGATGGCTCTCTTCTGGCCCACTATTTTTTGTGCGAACTCTTGAAAGATCTACCATCTGTTCCACTGTTTTTTTTTAACCAGAGGCGACAGTATGTTCCAGTCATTACTAATTTAACGTGATTGTCAGCGACTGACTGTTCCACTCATCCCTAATTTTATTTTTCAGTGAATTTCGATGATGGACGGTTCCAGACATGATTAATTTTATTTTTCAGTGAATCTCGGTGATAGAGGGCTCCAGAGATTATTAGTTTTATTTTTCAGTGAATTTCGGTGATGGACAGTTCCAGAAATGATTATATTTTTCAGTGAATCTCGGTGATAGACGGTTCCGCTCATGACTAATTTATTTCTTTAATGAATCTCGGTGACTGACGGTTCCAGTCATATCTAATTTTTCTATAAAACTCTTTGATTGACGGTCGTAGTCGCATTTTTTTAAATTCATTTTCAAAGATTGTTTAACAGTATTAAACAATCTGTATTTTTTTAATAGTATTAAACAATTTTGGGTCTGTAGACTGAAAACTAAACATTTATCAATATCTGACCAAAGACTGCATACCAAATATGCATCAGAGTTTAGTCTAATATTTGTTTATGGAACATTATAATTAAGAAAACTGCAGAAGGACTGTTGGCCCATACATACATAGTATATTTTATTTATATCCATGCTAAGCTCATGTATATATATATATATATATATATATATATATATATATATATATATATATATATATATATATATATATATATATATATATATATATATATATATATATATATATATATATATATATATATATTCAATCAATCAAAGCATCAACAGATAACCCAGAGCATGAGCCAGCCTCTACATCACTCAGTACGTCACATTAATATCTCCAAGATAGCATAATATATTTGTTACTTAGAGTATGCAGTTCTCAATATATTCTTTAAGGAGAGAGAAAGAGGGGTCTAAGATGCTGAAATACAATAATAGACAGAAAGAAATAATATAATGGATAGAGAAAAGAACTTCTGCATATATTCATAACTTACAACACTTCCAGGACTAAAATATTATTTTTTTGTCCCTTTATTGCTAGGACGCACCGCTTTATGCTCCATTGAAATCTCCAGATAAAAATGTTTCCAACAATATTGTTATTCTCATTCATCACGTCACATCAAATCATTTCTGATTGTAAGAGGGGCTGCTTGTAGACCACATTGTCATTAAAAGTCGATTAGCACCCAGGTGCGAAATTTTAGAGCAGTGTAGTATTCAGATAGTTGAGGTAAAGTTCATTATAAAATGAAGTCTTGTTATATTATTGAAACTTACAAACATTAATAATTGTGACACTGACCATGCATTTACAAGCACAACTGTGAGCATGAATGAGACAGATAAACACAGCTAACCTAACCTAACCTCATCAGGATTATATTAAATTCAAACAATTATATAGTAATAAGCATAAGAATAAGCATTTTAATTTTATAATTGTATTATTATTCTTAATAGTGTACTTTCTAGTTTCAGCAAAAACGAAGAGAGAACACACTCACACTAGGAGCAATAATAGTACGGAATAATTACAAAGGGAGATCACAGCAATGTTAGTAATGAATAGTTGTAGGGAGATCACAGCAATAGCAGTACAGGATAGTTGCAAGGAGATCACATCAATGTCAGTACTGGATAGTTTCAGGGTGACCACATCAATGTCAATACTGGATAGTTGCAGGGTGATCACAGCAATGTCAATACTGGATAGTTGCAGGGTGACCACATCAATGTCAGTACTGGATAGTTGCAGGGTGATCACAGCAATGTCAGTACTGGATAGTTGCAGGGTGACCACATCAATGTCAGTACTGGATAATTGCAGGGTGATCACAGCAATGTCAGTACTGGATAGTTGCAGGGTGATCACAGCAATGTCAGTACTGGATAGTTGCAGGGTGATCACAGCAATGTCAGTACTGGATAGTTGCAGGGTGATCACAGCAATGTCAGTACTGGATAGTTGCAGGGTGATCACAGCAATGTCAGTACTGGATAGTTGCAGAGTGATCACAGCAATGTCAGTACTGGATAGTTGCAGGGTGATCACAGCAATGTCAGTACTGGATAGTTGCAGGGTGATCACAGCAATGTCAGTACTGGATAGTTGCAGGGTGATCACAGCAATGTCAGTACTGGATAGTTGCAGGGTGATCACAGCAATGTCAGTACTGGATAGTTGCAGGGTGATCATAGCAATGTCAGTACTGGATAGTTGCAGGGTGATCACAGCAATGTCAGTACTGGATAGTTGCAGAGTGATCACAGCAATGTCAGTACTGGATAGTTGCAGGGTGATCATAGCAATGTCAGTACTGGATAGTTACAGTGAGATCACTGCAATGTCAGTACTGGATAGTTCCAGGGTGATCACAGCAATGTCAGTACTGGATAGTTGCATGGAGACCACAGCAATATCAGTATTGGATAGTTGTAGGGTGATCACAGCAATGTCAGTACTGGATAGTTGCAGAGTGATCACAGCAATGTCAGTACTGGATAGTTGTAGGGTGATCACAGCAATGTCAGTACTGGATAGTTGCAGGGTGATCACAGCAATGTCAGTACTGGATAGTTGCAGGGTGATCACAGCAATGTCAGTACTGGATAGTTGCAGGGTGATCACAGCAATGTCAGTACTGGATAGTTGCAGAGTGATCACAGCAATGTCAGTACTGGATAGTTGCATGGAGACCACAGCAATATCAGTATTGGATAGTTGTAGGGTGATCACAGCAATGTCAGTACTGGATAGTTGCAGAGTGATCACAGCAATGTCAGTACTGGATAGTTGTAGGGTGATCACAGCAATGTCAGTACTGGATAGTTGCAGGGTGATCACAGCAATGTCAGTACTGGATAGTTGCAGGGTGATCACAGCAATGTCAGTACTGGATAGTTGCAGGGTGATCACAGCAATGTCAGTACTGGATAGTTGCAGAGTGATCACAGCAATGTCAGTACTGGATAGTTGCAGAGTGATCACAGCAATGTCAGTACTGGATAGTTGCAGGGTGATCACAGCAATGTCAGTACTGGATAGTTGCAGAGTGATCACAGCAATGTCAGTACTGGATAGTTGCAGAGTGATCACAGCAATGTCAGTACTGGATAGTTGCAGGGTGATCACAGCAATGTCAGTACTGGATAGTTGCAGAGTGATCACAGCAATGTCAGTACTGGATAGTTGCAGGGTGATCACAGCAATGTCAGTACTGGATAGTTGCAGGGTGATCACAGCAATGTCAGTACTGGATAGTTGCAGGGTGATCACAGCAATGTCAGTACTGGATAGTTGCAGAGTGATCACAGCAATGTCAGTACTGGATAGTTGCAGAGTGATCACAGCAATGTCAGTACTGGATAGTTGCAGAGTGATCACAGCAATGTCAGTACTGGATAGTTGCAGGGTGATCACAGCAATGTCAGTACTGGATAGTTGCAGAGTGATCACAGCAATGATAGAAACACAAAATTGTATTGAGATCGCCAGTCTTATTCCAACAGTTGAACAGGATAATTGTAAATCCGACACCAGCATCTATTCCAGGTTTCCTCTTCAGATCTTGAATATATAAATATGAGCAACACAGAATAATAATAATAATAATAATAATAATAATAATAATAATAATAATAATAATAATAATAATAATAATAATAATAATAATAATAATAATAATAATAATAATAATAATAATAATAATAATAATAATAATAATAATAATAATAATAATAATAAATAATAATAATAATAATAATAATAATAATAATAATAATAATAATAATAATAATAATAATAATAATAATAATGAGAAAATCAAGTGAATACATGAGGGAATTTGAACTTTCAACCTGGGCTACTCCCAATCAAATGCCATAAACCAATAAACCACAATTCGCATACAGTACTTCCAACAGATTTTTCTCGTTGATTCGTAACCTGAATGTAATTATAATAATTATAACAATAATAAAAATAATAATAATAATAATAATAATAATAATAATAATAATAATAATAATAATGAGATTTCTCTGTGCAGCAATCATATTAATAATAATAATAGTAATTATAATAATTATAACAATAATAAAAATAATAATAATAATAATAATAATAATAATAATAATAATAATAATAATAATAATGAGGAAAAACCATTGGGATGTGAGACGGCGTGAACCTGCGACCAAGATATTGCCAGCCGCACACTCTGCCACTCACAAGTAACGCGACACTTAAAAGGTTAGAGCTGTCACTCACTGACAGATTACACTTTTACAACCTCATTGGATCCTAAGACAGCAAACTCGTTGCGAGGTAATACTCTGATGATTCCGAGATTCGGTGATTAACTAATCACCGAAAGTACTATATGCACAATTTATGTATCCCGGGATTAGTACTTACATTCAATTTCACACCTGTCATGCCCTTTCGCAGCTGACACTGATGACGTCTCCAGGTGGCAGGTAGACTGTAGAATTTAGCGAGGGAAAGCCAATGCTGAATGAACAATATTGGATAAGGTTTCAACCTCCAGCTATCCACATGATAGATTGCAATTCCTGGTGTACGGTGTTGTAATACACGAGCTGGTTAATCACCCCAAACACGATCCTCAATAACTCTAGTGTAATTTGCAACATTCACTCACAGTCTTTATTACTGTACAATAAACCCCACACTTCTTAACACACAGATAGTGTATTTCCCCACACTTTGCCGTTTTCTGTTTGGCGCAACGAGAGACACTGGCTCTCCTCCTCCACACTTCCTGTTTTCTGTTCGACACAGGGAGTACACACCCCGCTGTGTATAACCCGTCCTCTTAAAAATAACGTCACTTTTCGCTCATATGCGCACTATGGCCAAATTTGGACGTAATATGAAATGAAATCGACTCACAAAAGTGACGTACTGTTCCGTTTTCTGTTTGAGTCGTCCGGCTTACTCGGTAAGGTTAAAAGAGGAAACTTTCAATTAACGTTTTCCATAACGTTTTGAAACTTTATGAGAATTTCCTGCTCACCTATCAGAGAACCCTTAACTTACTGTTGTTGAAAAAAAATCCCAAATTTATCTTAATTTTCTTTCATTTTCAAATTAGGTCCATTTTCGGCCATACGGGCAAACGGCCAAAAGCGACGTTATTTTTAAGAAGACAGGTTGTAAATACCTTCCTCATGTCCCGTTATAGCGAACACCCAAATTCTACTCACATTTCTGGAATATTTCACACAGTATATTTGTGTAAAATATTCCTACAGATAATCTACAAGTATAGAAATGTTCTTACAGACAATCACTGCTAGATGGACAATCACTCCTCTCTCAGATTCACAAATGATACCGAGTCCTTCTCCTGAACTTGTTACACTTGATTTCACCTTTCTCTCTCTCTCTCTTCCTGTGAAATCACTCTTTCAGGTATTTAACACTGCTGGTAAATTCACATATCAACACACACGTGGTTCTTGGTCTGTTCCTGACCGCCGTTTATGTCGTAATTTCTTATTCCAGTCCAATATAATATCCTCTTGACACCTGCAATTACCTAGTGATATGGTTCTGGAATATTTACGGGTGTTTGGGTTATACCAATACTTCAGGACCTGGGGACAAAGCGACTTATCTTGGAGATCTTGAGACAGTTATCTTCTGCTGTAACTCTTGAGAATGCTGTGATGTCATCACTTGTTGGCCAATCAGAGTCGTGGGCCTCTCCGGCACTTTACATACTCTGCTTCCATTGGATCCGGCACCTGTTGATCCTTGTGATGCCGTGTTTGGTTCCCCCCCCAACACAGTGCCCCACAGTCTTCGAAGAGGATGGAGTAATCTTGTGGTTACCTTCCAACCGTTTTGAGGAGAGGAGAGCCTATCCTGCCTCCCCACTACCACCTTGTAGCAATAATGTCCCCACCCTCTCAGTAGAGGGTATCATATCCTTGGTGATTTGGGTGTGCATTCTGCATTGCACGACTTCCAGATGACTCAGATCACATCCATTGACCTGCTTGAACTTCTCTCAATGAGATGAATTCAGAGACATACAAGTAGACACACTTTGGACATCAACTAACGAAGTTAGTTCTTGCACGCACACATCAAAGCAATAAGTTACTACGCTGAGAGATCTTCCTTTTACATTACCCCCAATTTCAAATGCATATTGCTTGCAATCATGCATTACCACGGTGTTCACAGAAACTTCATGATTAACACAAACTTATGGTTACATATAGATGATTGCAACAAGAAATGTTCAAGCATACTTTCAATATGACAGCTTGAGTGATTCATGTGGACCACTCCATCCTCTGCATCTGCTGCCGACACTTGATCTTCATCATAAAATGTCAATCTTCTTTTCTGCTTCTTCTCAGGTGTTGAAATGTCCTGCAGCTGCGTGGTAGAGCACTGGGGCATGCACCGGTGCAACAAACGGCTCAACACCTCAACATATGTCACCAGACACATGACTCACACAACCAATTAGACCACACAAGACAAACTCATCAATACCTGTGGTGCACCTGACTCCTAGCTGTAATGACAGCTGGCTGTCAAACACATTGACACTTTTGCTTCTTCTTGGAGCCCCATAATGAATCCATTCAGACATTTGACACGTCGTGTCTCCAAGCGAATGGTATAATTCTCCGTCATCTTTTCTCATCTCTCTTGACAGAACAGCAAGCAAACCCAAGCACTGTAAAACACAATCAGCGCATCCCTCAATGTTGACACAGTTCACCTCTGCACCGTCGACAAATATCACTTGGTCCGGTGTTGTATGACACCTGACACCTTGGGTAGAAAGCCACGTTCCACCCTGAATTGCATCTGAGACTTCGGTCATTGCTGAAATTATGGCATCTTCAATGCTTTTAATTTCCTCATAAGATGTCATCTGACTCATGGCACATTGGATGACAAATCGAGTGACATCTCGTCCCACCGAATTGATCGTTCCGGTAGAGACCAGTCTGACACCACAGTCAACTGTCTCCATCTTCTCTAGTGTCGGTTGACACCTGACACTAAAGGCATACCATCTTCCATGAGTGTCGACACACATAGCTATCTTAAGTCTGACACCACTGCAAGCTACTTCTTTCTTTTGGGTCCCGTCACACTTGACACTCATAATGATTCCACGAATGAAATCTTTTTCCTTTTATTTAAATTCTTCGTCGCAACAGACAAGACTACACTGTCGGCTACCGTCGTCTTCTTTGTCGCATGACACATGACACCTTTTTTGACACCGTTAGTAGTGCCTCTTCTTTTAACAGCTCCACCTGCTGGGACGACAGATCTGACACACCCATGAACTGTCGTCCCTTGAGTCTCCCTGACACTTGACACTACTGTTGACACTTCCTCCTTCCTGCACACTAGTGAAATTCCCTATAATCCCACGTGACTTCTCAAAAGGCAAGAATGTGCCACGCGTTATCAGGTACACGACGTTAGCATCACCTTTGAGTTCTTGAGTTCTGCTCCGTGTTCCACAGAAATGTGCAGGCATGGTGATATCTTGACACTCCCCCGATGTCTCCCTCTGATATCACACAGTTGTCAGACATGACAGTCGTTAGGACAAGCTGATGAGGTAACGTAGCAGGTTACGATCCTACTAACTACTTAACGTCCCTTATTCTGTACACACTAGTGACATGGTCATATCCAAGGTCACTTGAGGTCATACCATAGTCAGCAACTGACTCGCCACCACATCCAGTGGTGGCGAGTCAGTCACGGTAAAGTGACTTCACCTTATCGCAGATGTCACTTCCGTACCTACCTTATTGTCGCAGATATCGTTGATCAAACGATCACCTTGGGTGACATTAGTTCATCCATCGACAACTTCCACTGGCTGTCTACAGACTCCCTTTGAATCTCTATCTTCTTGAGTTGATGTTTCACTTCCGGTCAACGCCTCATCACCTAACACGAACGCTATCCTGCGTTGGAACTCAAGATTTGCTTGTTCGTTCCATCTCTTCATAGCAAACTGAACACACTCTTGTTGACTCATGTTCCTCAACTTGGTTATTATTATAGTGCGGGTTGGTGGTGTTGTCGTCGTTGTTCCTTCTTTACGGACAACCCAACCCACAACTCAGTAGACTGCTTATACTTAACCAGGAGATCACACTAGGCGCTTCTGGCTCTTGGAGTGGGGCTCAACGTCACACGTTTAGAGGATGCGGCTCCAATACTTAGCCTCGTTGACACGTGCACACACCCACTCGAGCCGCTGTGACTCCCCACTCTCTCCTTATGTGATATGATCTTAATCCCCCTTTGACTTATTAGTTTTCCATCCTACCCTGCCCACAGCGGTGGTTCTTGGTTTTTTTTCTCTCTCTCTCTCTTTCTTTACTATTTCGTGGGAAGCCTCACTAGGACAAGGGCAAACACCAGCAAATTGGAATACATTTACTGGACAAAGCACATACACAATACATACACACATATAATAATAATGAATCCTATACTCTATACTATTACAATCAGGTTGC